ACGGGAAGCGAATATTCGCCAATGTTAATTTTGCTCATGTTTAACCGGACCATGGCACTGCAGCAGCCTCCCACTCGGGCTAGTTAGTTATCTCTCAGTGATAACTGTCACCAGCATCATTTAGCAATACGCCACGTTGACAGTGAATATTCATGTATCTTAATGTGCCTCAAGTCTCAGGTTTTCTACATTTTTCTGTTTCTCTCCTTTGACTGAGTCTTTCTGAACCCAGAAGGGATTCATCATTGGCGATGAAATGATCTGGTCTTGTCAATGTGCATTACATGATACTAGTGAGGATTCATCAGTGGCTTAGTGTCGCACTAGTCTTTAAATTAGCAATGTATTTTGTGTAACTATAGACATGTTTTGGGATATTCAAAAAAAACAATGTATATTCAAAACTTAATCATGTTAATTACAGACCATTTCCAAGCTTGGAAAATATGTCTTATATTTGAACAACCAAAATGTCTGCGGGAAAATAAAGATTTTCTGGTAACATGCTAACGTGGCTTCAAGACAACTTTTCCAGCAGGTGAAAATATTTGAGTGATAATGTGTCACCCCTCTAGAGAGTAATGTTTATACTGAAAATGCAAATAGAAAGTTCTGTTTGCTAAAATTATCTTATTCTAATCATTTTCATTGCAACAAATAGACCACATTCATTCTTGTCCCAGGTTTAATATTGTTTTGTGTGGGAGGAAATCATTTGAAAAATCATTCTGATCATGTGATACTAAAGCTGATTGAATTAGAATCCTTAAAGCCGCCATAAAGGGTAACCAGTGGCACATATTTGTCATTAAGAAATTCTGGCATAATATACAGGAGTGAGGGGAGTCGAATCCAGATTCCAAAATCTGATTTCTGCACACTAATAACAACATTACATTGTGTATGTGTTCTACAACATTATGCTTAAAATAACTAATGCTATGGAGTGTTAAGCGCTGCAGATATCCGACCACACTCACATATACTGTAACTTATGTCTTCGAGAATACCAAATTAACATATGGTTGGAGTGCTTGAGCCTTGCTACAATGTGCCTTCACATGTGCACTTTAATCAGTCCAATGTGCCTACCCTGTACAAACCAGCGCAAGCTGCATTTTGGTTTGGTGCCATAACTGTTACAGTAAGAATTGTGGCCAACAAGCCACGTACAGTTAAATTATATCTAACTGCATGACTGAATCATTTTATCCCTAGTCAAGTTAGGGGGCACTACACTGGATGTAGCTGGCTCGGCCAGCAGAAGTCTCTAATACACCTGCTCTATGGGCCACATAGTGCGGAAGCAGTGCCGATTATTCTACTATATCTATACACAGCAGTTGAACATTTTTTAATTCATGCCCTACTGAGCAACTTTGATCGGAACTGGTCTTGACAATAGCTTTTTTCACCTTGTAGAAATTGATAAATAGTCACAGAAGACATGCAACGTCAGATTTATTATTATGGATTTATTTTTACGAAGTCTTCATAAGGACACTACAGTTCAAGGCTGAATTACAAAGGAATAGCACTAAGGTTAGCTACTGGGCATTAAAAGTTACCACACATCTCAGTTGGAAAAGCTCTGCTTCAGACATACACATTTTATTTTCAGATAACCTTACATTAGACATCGCATTTATTTTTCACTTACCTGATTGGACAACTGTATGAGAAATTCTACTTGCCCACAGTTTTATTTGCCCTGGGCAAGTGTTAATGTCAAGCACTAACAATTTTTGACAAAAAGAGATAGTAAATCCTACCTACTCTAGCAGAATAGCCAAGTTATATTGTGGTTGATCTTGATACAATCTCATGACGGCATTGAGATTTTTTTTTATTTTTTTTTTGCCATTTCGCCATTTGAGAAAATCAATATATCATTATATCCCAAACCAAGCCCATTTCATATTGCAATTCATTAGACTAAAAACGTGTTTAGCACACAGTGCACTGGAGTAAGAGCCAGAAAGGAAAGGGCAAATTTCCTAGCTGAATCGGAAATCAATTTTGACATTGAGAGTCAATTTTGATATCAAGAAGCGATTCTGATTAAAACTGTAACACTATGAATCAGAATTTTGAAATAAACTCCCACCCCTAAAACAGAAGAGTTAGGCATTCTTGAGCAGTTATATCGAGGAGTTTTTTACAGATAGTTTTATATACTGGCAGAACTTCCATACATTGGTAGTAGCGACAGGACTGAAGTATGCAAAAATCTGACTCTCTAAAGTGAATTCCACGTTCAACAATGGTGTGCAGTTTACACTCAAGTATCAGAAGTACTTACACTAATGTGCAAGTTTTGAAACAGGGCTTAAAATTGACCCCTTATAAAACAATGTGACAGCTAAAAACCCTCTCTGTACAAATTACTCGAAGTACAAAAATCACCTTCTGCTGTGGTTTCATTGCAGACTAAGATTAATGTGTTGGACATGTTGTGCATCTAACTTGATTAATGAACAGGAATACTATAGTATTACTAAACCTGTAGAATGCATAAGGTGATACAACACTGGACTGTAAGCTTAGTATAGTATATAAATACATACTGCATTGGATTTCCATTAAAGGAACATGGTTGAACAACCACTACAAGTGGCTGGCAATTTGTCAAATGAGTTAATTGGTCACCAGTTCATCCAATTCATCTTAATGCTTGTTTTTGGACCACACCCAAAGAACAGTGAATTAAGCATGTACTGCAGCCAACAGTTACTTTGCGTACAAGACTGAATCCCTTGTGCTGAATGGTGCCAAAGTCAAAACTGTCCTATTTCGATTTTTAATCAAGCTTTGTACTCCTCACCTGTCAATGCTTGTTCAGCTCTGCTTCTTAATTATTACAGCCTTCTCTAAGTCTTGCAGCAAATACGGCTGTTTTTAGTCTGATGCAGAACTGTTTACTCACTAAATGCCAGGTGGTGCAGGCACTGAAAAGCTACAGGCTGGGGGAAAGGACCTAACCTTTATACAGTGTCTAAACGTCCTCACTTTCTCCTTGAACATCTATCCTTAACTGTGCTCCTCTGGTCCCCTCCCTGTCCCAAAGTGGCCAGCTGGGAACGGTGCGCATGTGCTGACGTCCCTACTAACCTTGGCCAGTGTAAGGATTACCGTGCATTTACACTCAATGCTCCTTCTTTCCTTAAGACTTATTAAGAATGATAATGAGCTCGGAAAGGGGCAGCATGTCCCTTTCTCAACTCTGCAAAAGCTCTTCTCTGTCTTTTTCACTGTTCACTTGTCTTATTCCTCTCTCTGTTCTTCCTCTCCACCTTTTCTGCAGCCTCTCTCTCTGCCCCAGTCCATGCCTCTCTCTCTTTCTCCATCGTATTGAAAGGACCCAGGACAAATTACCAAAAAGGCCATTTTCATCTATGAACTGCAGGATTTAATCGATACTTATTTCATGCCTTCAAAATCAACCCTATATTACTGTTGTCTGTGTGATTTGTTTATTTTGCTCTGGAATATTCCTTCAGTGGAAGGGGGGAAATGCACGGGATGCAATTCACCTTGAACCTCCATTATATTGGATTTCTCTACTGGCTGATCAAGCATGCAAAAAGGACATTTCCTTAGCACTAAAATAAAAACAATAATGATGATTAAAAAAACATGTGTGCCATTTGTGCTGGTATAACAGTGCGTGTTGAAGGCAGTATATTTTTACAAGGCAAAACACTATGGTTGCGGTAGTGTGAATTTGTATACAAAATCATTACACTGAGGGCAATTGATAAAGCTTATGTGCTGGGAAACAATAGTAATGGCTCCTGAAGCCTGTCAAATGCCGCCTGGGATTACTGACGCTTATTTGACATCAAAGACCTGAGGTCCACAGCCAAGGTCAAACAGAAAAGGAATACACATGGGTTTAATTCTACACACCCCTTGACAGATGCAGATGGGTACTTATGAGACATGAGGCATTTCACTGACTGATAGGGCTGCAGGAAATAAGAATGTTGGAGGCATCGCACACTGATTAACCAATGAGATTCTCAAATAGTCGAATGAACCAAGAGCACAGCACTACAGGCAACAATTCAAGTGCCATTTTAGAGAGAGAGAGAGAGAAAGAGAGAGACCCAATCAAAAGGCCTAGAGGACCACATCCATAAACACTGAACTAAACACACAAACCAAGTTGCAATTAAAACAGCACAAATGGACAATAAGCATCTCTGCTTTCTCAGCTCGGAATATTTGTCCAGCGCTACTTTAACCTGTGGTGACGGTGAAAAATTATGAAAGAAGGAAGGCAGAGAGCGAGCAAAAGAGAGGTAGAGAAAGAAGGGCAGTATGTTTGACAGATGGATATTGCACTGTCTCATCAATGCCGAAGAGAGATGAGAACCTGTACCACCAGCCTGACAGTGAAGGCTGGCTGGTGTCCAGCTAGAGATGGACCTTCGGACAGCAGACACATGCCGTCACATTCCAGAGTTACACTGGGGGAGCACACAGGATGAAGAGCTGGAAACTGCTTCAACTGATCACTTTACAGCCCTATTTGGACAGGCTGTATGAAAGTGCATTTACAATACCACTGCAATGCACTGAGGTGAACTATTGTACCCTGTAGTGTCACCTGCTGTTGGTTATTATTTTTGGTGACCTCATAAAATAAGAGACACCACTTAAGTAAACGTATCTTTAGTCTGGCAAATACTTGCTATTCAAATCACACAAAATGCAAGCTGATTTCATGTCTAAACATGTGTTTTTAAGCTTGCCTGTTTAAGTGTCAAGTGTGTGCTTGCTTTGCATGCATGAATACATCTGCAACAGTTAGGCTGCACAGCTGCTGCATTATGAGGGTATTATGGAAAATACCTCAAAAGCACACACTGTGTGCATAATGCATCTTTTTACAGTATAAATTTATTTAATCTACAACTGATTTGTGAGACAAAAAAATCAAAGCACTGAAAAGGGACATCAAAACTGTAAAATTGAAAAAGAACTTTCATGTTTACCTTGTGTTGTACTAGCAGTGGCATTTTTAATATAGAAGATGGCTTTCCATGAATGATCTGTTTAACCAAAGACAGGAGAGAGAGAAAAAAAGGGATAATTAATTACTTTTGTGAGCTATTGCACGGGAGAGACAATAAACCTGCCTGGTCGCCATGGATATGACATATTTGCTCTGAAAACAACACAATAATTAGCAAAGGAGAAAGATCCGGCGAGAATATGAGAACTCCCGGTTTAAAGTGCCAGTGATCTATTCCTGTCCTTATCTTCATCCCTGAGAATAATAACAAACACAGTGGCAAGCGCACAGCACACACATTTATATATTCACGAGAGAACTAACAGTGACCCTTTACAAAAGCATGTTAAATTAAATCTCACATCAAAGTGGCGTTTTGTAGAGATCACAACTAACCAAGCACACAGGATCCGTGCAGTGTTTTAAACAGATTGTTTGTTCAACAGTAGGTGGAAGTCAGAAAAACCTGCCTTACAGCCACTAAGAGCAGGAACTGCAGAAAAATCTTATTTACCATAGCAAATAAGGTGTGTGTGCATATGCGAGTGTGTCTGTGGGTGAGTCACTGTGGTGTCAGAGAGGTGCATAACCTGCCAACAGTTGACACATTTTGGGCAAATGATCAGGTTTTCAAAACGTTTTAATAATGGTGTGTTATTTATGATGGTGTTTTATTTATGCTTTTTTTTTTGCACAATAGCTTGTTGAAGTACATAATAATTAGTATAGAAATATTGATGAAGTCATGCATTTAGCAGGTCACACTTTTGTCTACTATCTGACACCACAGCCCCAATTAACCCAGCACACATGCACGATAAGGACAAATATGTTTTCATTTACAGACAATCTTCAACAGCAGAACTTCCGCATTTCAAGCTTTGAATATTGATTGCATTTATAGTAGTTCCTCTATTTACGGTAAATGATACTGTATGACGGCTACTACCTGTTTAGGGGCAACCAGAGGAGTTTCACTAAGTTTTTCTCGGCTAAAACCGGCGCTTTCGGCGCTGAAGTCGCACCCAAAAGTCGCTCACTTGTTTCGCTTTTGGAGAATCGCTGCAGACAGTAATAACCCACACTAATGTAGGTTTCAGCTGATGAATAAATAATAAAATACCTCGCATCGGTGCTGTTTTCTGTCTCTTGTATGCTTTATATTTTGGGAATGGGAGTAATTGAGCTCGCCTTGACTTAAAGCACGGACTGAGGGAAAAAGTTATCTGTCTCAACTTTGCAAGGGGGGCTGGCGTTTGGTCGCCTGCAGTTTTCATCCGGTCTCTGACGGCTTTTGTGTGAATTAACAAAGTTTTAGGAAAGGCTGGTCCTCTCGCCGGTATTTTCAAAGGCAAAACAGGCTCACTAACAGACTGTATGAGTCGCTCCAGACCTGCTACTGCTGTCGGCGCTGCTGTCGCTGCATCGAGGCTGGGAGTTGCACCGTGTTTACCGACAAGTCCTCACGCCAAGTCCTCTATCCCTTACTGTCATTTCTTAACTGTTTAAAAACTGCTTAACAATGCTGGTTTCCGGTGTCACTGCTGCAGCGAGGGACACTTTTGCTGTCGCTTTCTGCAGAGGATGATGTGTTTGGAAATGAAATCAGCATGTACAGTAGTTGAGAGGAAAAGGAAAAACTCTTACCTGAGGTACTTCGCTGTCTTTCGCTGACTTCCAACTAAAGGGATGTGTGTGTTTACGGTGGGTAGCGCGAGAGCTTTTATTAATAAAGTTGCCACATTTTTTTCAGTTTTTCGGGTTTTATTGTAGCATTTTCTAATTTCTTACAGGGCGAGTCGCCCGGAAGATCTGCCCTGGAGACCTGCTCCAAGTGGGAAGAGGAGTCCTTAATTGAATTTCTCGACTGGCAGGTGTTGCTCAGAAAACCTGGACTGGAGTTTAGTGGTGCTCTCCATCTAAACTGACAGCTTGTCAAAACAGTTGACTATTTAACTATCTTTTACTTTGGAGGTGTTTCTAATTAATTAAGCTACGAAAAGCAAGAGTGTTTTAATTTAACACCATTCATCACTTGCTTACTAGCGTTAAGTACCTTATCTAGAAGAGTGTGCCATTTTAATTAATTAAAACACCCATATTGTCCCTGTCTGCTCAGGTATAGTGGTGGTGACAGGTGTGGGCACCTGTCTGCCAGCAACAAAATGTCACACAGCAGCATTAACTGATTTTTCAGCACGGATGGACAAACACTAATGCCTCCCCCTATCAAGTTGTTGTAGCTAGCATGTTAGCTTACAAAACGCCGAAGCTAACTAGCTAACAGTACTTACATTTAGTTAGCATTAGGTATCCAAATTGCTTCCTCACTCTGGCCTCCTGCTGTCTGTAACGTAAGTCTTTTATTTCCCGACGGTTTGCTCTGTTTTGGTATGCAAACTCCAGAAAATAACATCTGTGTCTTTGGCTAAGTTTCTGCTCTCTCCGTTAACGTTACATCACCGCTAGCTGACAGGTAACGGCTGCCCACGAGCGAAGCCCCGCCCCTTTCGTAGTTAGCCTCTGCTCCACGTGCCCCGTGTTTTTTTCCTGAATTTTAATGGCGTTTTCTCAAATCATCATCATCATTATTTGTCTTTCTAAAATGCTAAAACATGAACAATTGATATTTGTTACTATGGTGGATCAAAAAACAAACACTTTATCATACTGAACACTTGTTTTAACCAAGTAAAACTTCCAAACTGGTGTCAAGGCCTCTTGGGAGTTGTAGTTTTAGAGAATCAGAATTAGCCTGTGATTTTATTTTGATTTGTTCAAATTATGTTGGACTCAGACTTTACTCATCAGTAGATATACAATTGCAGGTTAGTTTGGGGAGCGTGACATGTTTTGACTTTGTTGGTCAGGATAACCAAAAGGCTAACATGTACGCAGAGACACATAGTGCTTTTTTGGTTTAGTTTAGTTATGAAGAGTGCTCCAGGGATGATGTTTTTCCATAGGCCAAAGTGGAAGTTAGCATTGCCCTGGTTTCCTCGTCACGCCTATGGGATCTCTATGGGACCATTACATTTTGAATTACTCTCTGTGGCAAATAAAAGTTTATACAAACACGTTTTGATTAGCAAAATAATCTTCACAAATTCAGACCACATTTCTGATTTTTGAAGCCTAAATACGATTGCCAGAAGTAAAATGCTAATGTTAGGCTGTAAACGAACTACACCATGGTCACATGACTGAACATCACCACCATGAGGCTCATATTTGGCTTTTTTTTTGGAACCAGAAGTGACCATATTTGGACAAGAGGGGAAAGCTGTGAATAAGCGAAGGGTGGATCTGACTCGTAGTCTGTAGCATCACCTTGCAGACAGCCAAGTCAGGTCAGTCAAGTGGCTCTGCCCTTAAATATGCATAACTATAAGCCTTAATAAAATGTAAACAGATGAGTTACATAAAAATATAAACAAAAAGTTATATAAAAAGTTGTCGTGAACAGAAAAATTAGCCACAGAGTCCAAAACTGTTTTTTGTACCAGGCCATGTGTATTTCTGCTGTAGAGTCGGGCATTTTAAATTGGCGTCTATGGGTACTGATGTGCTTATGGAGCCAGCCTCAAGTGGCCATTTGATGAACTGCCATTTTTGGCACTTCCACATTGGTTTTATTTTTCAGCCCAAGAGGTTGCCACTTGAACAATACCAATAACGTTAAAAATTTTGGGGTTACCGTAACTTTCTTATAACAAACATGACTGGGGTGGTTTCCACCCCTTGTGGGCAGCAGAAAGAGCTGTCAATACCACACTAGTCTTGTGTAGCCAGACCTATCTCCTCAGTGCTAGAGAAAATTCTGAAAGCACCCATTATCATTCTAGCAAAGGAGAAAAAAACAGTTCAGGGTTGTTTGTATTTCTCTAAACCAATCACAATCATCCTGGGTGGTGTTGAGCCCAGGATGCAGTGATGTACCCTTGCAAAATGGTAGCATGGATAGTGGAAGGAGAGGAGAATGCCAGCTGAAATGGCCGCAAAATAGCAGGCTTATACCCAAAGTCTACATCCTGTGAGTCAGACAAACTCCACACTGACATATTTTCAACTAATGTGGAGAACATGTTAGCAAACAGTTGCCTATTTACATTCTCAGAAGACACAGAACAACATTAGCGTTAATTTATAGTCATATTTCTGGACAAGTGATTAATCTAGTCCGTCCTTTTAGCTCTGTTTTGGTCTCCACCAAATTCGGAGGGAAATAGGCTGTTTAGCAGCGAAAATGCTACTATAATTATGATTATGATTATGATTATGATTATGTGGCTTCTTCACTACAAGTAACCCCTTTCACAGTACACACAGTCATTTGATCCAATGTTTATGTAAAAATAATAATTAGTGCAGTTTTAAAGTTAGGGTCAGGTCCAGCCACTGTTTGACTGAGATTAACTAGCCATTAATCACTTGTAGTTAAAACGATTATTTTAGTGGCATAATTGATATTTATGCATTGTTTCAAACTATAAATTGAAACACGTTGTCCTGTATAATTTCACAAGGATTGCACTTATGTATGTGCGTAAGTTTCACAATTAATCAACCACTATTTACAGTGAGTCCACTTTAGGTTTCCCTTCCCATTGGCAAAACACTAATGTCACCTCGTCTCTTTGTTTTCCTTCTCCCTCACCTTTCCTACCACCTACCATACATCAATAATTTACTGTAAAATATTCTGAGCATGAGACTCCTTGAAGGTATTCCAGGAGCAAAGCCCATAGGAACAGTGGGGCTGTGATAATGTATTTTAAACTTGAACTTTCCTTATCTAAATTCTGCAGTCTTGTGAACTATCGACAAACAGATTATTGCCAATTAGCAGTTTTGTGATGTGTCCTGTTGTACATAATAAAGAATCGAGGGGGATCGATAGCAAAGTCAACTAACAAGGTAGATAGTGCTTTAATCTTTACCTTCCTTGTACGGTTTAGGATTCAGGGATTGTGACCTACTGCTTGGTATCCCTCCAGTACATTTAGGATGTTTGTTAATTGATTTGTCATATCATAATTA